CATGGGAGCATCTGCCATGTGGCTGGAGACTTCAGGAGGTGACATCGGAGGGGCTGCTGTGCCAGAGCTCTGCACCCAGGCAGGAGATGTCCAGCGGCTGTTCCTGATGATGATTTGGACTTGAGGTACAGCCTAGTTTAGGAAAAATGGAGCAAGAGACTGTGCCAGGAGCCCCTCTGGCCTGTGGGGGAGGTTTGCTCCTTCGGGTTGCAGGTGGAGTTAGAGGATTAATTCATCCCTGGGTGTTTGTAAAGCACCTTTGAGTGGACAGTGTTGGGGACTGAAGAAGCATCACTAAATCACAGAAATTAGACAGAAAGACCTTTGTATTTAATCTATGTTTACCAGTCCAGGGTTGTCTTCAATGCCCGTTCTGGGAGCATGTCTGAGAAGACAGACCAAAATCAACCAAGCTTCTCGGTGGAGATGACTGATGTAGCTTCACATGCTTTAAAGACCTGATGAGAAAATGAATTTCTTCTTTTTCTAGCACTGGCTAGAGGATCCCCCCCTCCTTACTTCTGCATTCAGCCCAGTTAATTGGGTGGCGACCCTGTTCCTCCTAGAGAGGTGTCCAGTCTTGGTTAGAAGATGATGGGAGGTAGAAACCTTAGCGTTCCCTTGACAGCTTCCCCCCAGCTACCCCTGACATCGCTAGTTATACCTTGTCTCTAATTGGAATTGCCTGAGCTCAAGCCCCAGGTGCAGCTTCACGCCTTCCCAAAAAGCTGCTTGGGCTGAAGCAACCAAACGTCCTCTCGAGCTGATTTTTGAGGAGGCCAAATGGTCTTTAATTGCTCTCCAGACCTGCAGGATGTGAGCAGAGGATGATGGTCCCAAAAAACCCTCATCAAACAGGCCAATATACAAACTCGTAAGTATCAGGGGAGCATGAGGGAGGAGATGGGACCCAACTCAGCAGCAGGGCTTAGGCCCCTCCCAGAACCATGGCATGAACATTGGTAAAAGCTGTTCCCCACTGTGTAGGCGGCAGTTCCATGTACTACCACAAAGTGTATCGTGAGGAGCTAGGGATTTTCATGCCACGCATCACTTCAGATAACCGTGTTGCCCTGTGAACATCTCCACCCAGGCACAGGGACCCCTCCCAGCTCTCCGTCTCTCTCTGCCGGGTGTGCTGGAGTCAGGATTGATGGGTGATGCCATCCGGGGCAGAAAGGTCCCTTTCTTGTGGAGCATAACAGGGCCACGTCATGGGGTGTCCCAGGAGGTGCAGTGCGGTGGCTGTGAGCAGGCACTCATCTACCTACATGGCCAGTCATTGGTGAGGGTTGGTGCTGGGTTAATTCAGGAAGAGGTTGTCCAGGAGCATCCTCAGAGCGAGCCCCAACCTCCAGCATGTGAGACGCAGTGCTGGGGGACCCCAACCTCTCTCTCAGTGCGCTTGAGTCCCAGCAGGTCCCCCATGGAGGGGTAAGATCCTAAAGCTTCCAGCTTTGGGCTGTTGAAAGCGTGTTTTGTTCCCAAGCTGAAATAAACAACTTTCTTGTGGCTCTTCAGGGCTCAGAAGCCATGACAATGGTCTGGAGGAAAGAAGTGATGTTTCTCCAAGGCACGGTGGCTTTTAGGGGGCTGCAACCCCAGGTGGTCCCAGGTCCATGGGGTCACACTTAAAGGGAGACATCCCTGCCAGGGGACTGGAAGTGACTGCGTCCCACAGCCAGCGGAGAGGCACAGGTGGTCCTGGGGACAAGGCTGCGAGGAGGTCCCACGCTGCACCAAGGTGGAGGTGATGGAGATGTGTGGGGCGGTGGGATCTGGAGGCCAGCGGGTAGGCAGAGAGAGGGACTTCAGGGACCCGGTCAGGGGTGCACAGGAGGTGCAGGGTGTAGAGGGGGTGATGGAGAGTGGGAAGGGATGTGCAAGGGGTGCAGTGGAGGGGTGCTGGGTATGTGGTTGTAGAGGAGGGGTGCAGGGGACGCCGGGTGTAGGGGAGGGATGTTGGGGTGGGGGGTGTAAAGGAAGGCTGCAAGGTGTGTAGGGTGGGAGGGTTTGGATGTACAGGATGCAGAGGACGGGTGCAGGGTGAAGGCCCACGCAGGCAGGACGTGTGTGTGAGAGGACGTGTGCAGCCATGCAGTCCCTGAGGCTCCGGGAGCTGCTGGAGAACCAGGAGCCCCAGGCACGGGGAAGCTCAGCCTGAATCCTGGTGGGAGGTGATGCCTTGAGCTCATCCTCTCCCCAAATCATATCTGAAACATCCCACCACTTTCTCCTGCAGGGAAAGATCTCGCCGGCTGTGGCCTGGTCGATAGGGGCTATGCCAGCCACACCATCCTTCTCAGCAACCGACGATACCAGGGGCTGACCGTCTCAGTGCTGTGTCTCTACAGTAAGTATCAGAGGAAGCACAAAAATCACAGCGATGCCCAGGAAGGCGAGGGCCGTGGGGAGCAGACACTCCAACAAGTCCCTGCTGGTGGGATGGGAGCTGCCTGAGTTTGTCCTACTGTTCTGGGAGTGTCGGGGGGGGAGTGTTTCGTCAGGGCTGCATGGGACCTCCAAAGTGCTCCCAGTGCCACCCCCATGGGAGGAGCCCCCCGATGGGAGGAGGAGGAGGTCTGGGGACATTTGGCCAGGCTGCAGCCGTGTGTCTGTCCCTGCAGGCAGAGACACTGAAGTGAAACCTGGTGTGACAGAGAAATTCAGAGCCGCCAGAAGCCAGAGGGGAGTTCCCAAGGAGCAGATGATGGTGCTGCCCAAAGCCAGTAAGATAAATCGGCAGCCCTTGTCCCCGGGTCCTCCACGCCTGGGGATCCCCTGAGCTTGGCTCTCCTGTGGAGCACAGAGGTGGCGAGAGGCAGAGGGTGATTTTGGCACCCTCCCGTGGCTGCTGCACTGAGGATCACAGGGAGCACGGCTCAACAGCCGGGGTGGTGGTGCCTTGGGATGCACCGAGCTGGGGTAGGCTCAGCCCTTGCAGGCAATGCATGGGTTGTGAGGCAGAAACATTGCTACCAGTGGGGGTCCGTGGGGGATTTTAGCTGGCACATCCCTCTGGGTGGGTGGTGAGCAGCTTTCCCCAGGGCTGTGTTACCCTTCAGGCTCCTCTCTGGAGCAGGAGATGAGCCTCATCCCTCCTTGTCTTTGCTAAGGAGTGCACCCCACCATCAGAATAGGTGAGCCAGAGCTCTGGCTCTCCCGTCCTGGGACTGGGACAAGCCCCCAGTGTCCTCCAGCCCTCCCAGTGGGAGTCCTGGGAGCAGAGACTCCTGGCACAACTGCCCAAAAGCAGCCCAGAAGTGACACCCAGCCTGAAGCACCATCCTGGGCAGAGGCTGAGCACCAGATAAAGACAGAAAAGCCACTTTTTTTTCTTTTTTTTTTTTCCTTTTGCCAAGTAGATTTTAAGATCTGAAACTCAGCATTAGCAAGAGATGTAGCCTTGGCCTGCATTTCGGGAGGCTGGGAACCAGCAGCCATCTGCAACATGCCAGACCCTTGGAGCTCAGCCCCAATGGGTCAGTACTGTAGGATCCAGCTCAGCTCCATGGTCTAAAGCCCCCAGCCCCACCACACTCAGGGCTGCTTCCCACAGCCCCCTCCACCTCCCCACCTGCCTCTCACTCCCAAACGAAGAGATGGTGACCCTGTCCCACGTCTGGGTGTGATGCTGGGGAGTGCTGGGATCCTCGCAGAGGTGCTTCAGGCTCTCAGACATCCCCTGCCCAGGTAGAGAGCATGGGGCAGGGGGCTCCTCCCCGCCTTGCCTGGAGTCACAGACTCCCCTGGACACACGCCAGTGCACCCCCAGTTACCTCCCATCCACTCCCACCGCTCTCGCCTGGCCGCAGGCTCAACGTGCGCACGGGGAAGCGGTTGTACCACCACCCTACCGGCCTCCCCACAGACCACTCGCCCAAGTGCCCCCGTCACTGGGCTGCCCTGGCCCAGCACTTGCTGGGTTTGCCTCCGTACAGGCCCACGGCTGGCGCCCAGCCATTTGCCATGAGTGGCTGATGGTTGCTCCCGGCTACAGCCACGCTGTGGACCTGTGGTCCAGGTCAGCTTCATGGCTCCTCTCTGCTGCAGATCTGGTCCCCATGGTCCTCACCCCCACCAGGAGCCAGCTCGTGGCCCCGACAGTGAGAGAGTGAACCCACAGCAGCTGTGGGGCTCCGGAGAGCCTGTGGCGGGGCAGGGGCACCAATCGCCCCATCAAGGGCGCACAGCCCTGGCAGGGCCAAGTTGGCTGCGGTGCCCGGGGACCTGCCCCAGCCCCGTGCCCTGGAGGTACCAAGCCCTGGCCATGCAACAGCACCCTCATGCTGCACAAGGGCACCCATGGCTGGGGGCACCACTCCCCTGGGGAGCAGCTGGAGGTACTGGGTTGGTGACACACAGGGACAGGGCCCAGCAGAGACCCATTGGCCTCTCTGTCACTTGGTGACAGGGACAACCCAGGGCAGAAGAGGAGCTCAGCTTTTTCAGAGTATATTAAAATCACTGAGTTAATTAGGGATTTGTGTTAGCATAAATGGGACCAGTTTGTCCCAGTAACCCTTTGGGTTGGCCCAGCATCCATCCTAGTAACCTCCAACCCCAATTTCCTGCAGGGCAAAAAGCAGCAGGTTAAAGATACAGTTACAGGCCCCGGCACGGGCACGTGCCCCAGTTCTCCCAGCACCACAGCCTGGTGTGCTTGCTGGTCCCCAAGATGCACATCAAAACTGAGAAGGAATTAATGAGTACAGAGCTCCAGCAAATTAGAGAGCAAAGAAAATGCAATGTCCTGCCTTTGGAAGTAAAATCCCAGACAGCTGGCAGGAATGAAAAGCCAAGGAAATTAAGGAAGTAAGACAATTTTAAGAGATATCTATTCTGCTGGAGGCAGATGACAAAGCTGCAAAGAATGTTGTCCCCACGGCTGGCCCCACGCCCTGTCACCCATCTCTGCCTCCATCCTCCTGCGCAGCCTTGGTGACAGCCAGAGCTGCGGGCGTCAGCCCCTGCCAAAGCCAAGCCAGGTGTCCCCGGCGTGCCGCACCCCCGGCCACTAGCTCTCGGCAAACCTTGGAAAGCAACGGAGCAGGCTGACAGCCTGCCAGGGCACCGCTGACACTCTAACGGGGCTCCTGCCGTGAGTGCCATCGACTGGGGCCGAGTCCAGCCACGTGGCAGGGCACCGGTTGTGGGAATCCCTCCACCAGGAATTAGGGACTGAAAAGGCAGCACATGGCAGCCAGCGGGATCCCGGACAGCGGGTCCCATTGAGCATCACATCGTCTTGCTCATGCCAAGGTCTCAGGTCTGTGCCCAGAGCGCGGAGCAGGAGATTGACTGCCTGGATTTTGCAGGTATTGACTCGGTGTTCCCTGCCTCGGCAGAGGAAACCCTCACCCTGCCCCGAGCAGCTCCACAGCACGCAGGGACGCTGGGGCCGATAAGCTGGGACCCTGGGGCACCCCTGGAGCCAGCAACTGCGGAGGCACGTCTCCACGGAGCACCCGCAGCCCTGCAGCCGGCTGGGATGTTCGTGCTCCGAGGAGGACCCAAGGGTTGGAAAACAAACCCTGTAGGTGTGAGAGTAATCCAGGGCGCGTGGAGAGGGAGCACAACCCGCAGGGACTCGGGGACGCCGCTGCAACCGGGAAGAGTGGTGACATTTCGGTCGAGACCCAAGGCCGGCGGTTGCACCTGAGGCCTGACAAACTCAGCCGCCTGCCACGCCGGAACACCGACGCCTCGAGCCAATCGCCCCAGCAGCCTCACGCCCCGCTTTTGGCAGTTCCCAGCCCAGTTTACACCACTCCCACGGCACTGGGGCAGCGACTGGGTCCCAGCAGCCCCAGCCTCTTCCCGGAGCTGGGCAGCAACAGCATCTTTTTGGCTTCGGGCTGGTTTCCAGGTGCCGGGAGAGGGATGAAGGCTCCAGTGATGCTGCAGGAGGGCGGGGCGGGGTCCCGACCGGGGGGTGGGCGTGGCCCAC